TCAGTGTCTGACTCTGTGACCTGCCCAGAACCAGAGCAGCTTTAGTGATACTTGGATAAGTGGGTTCCCTGTAGGAATTCCCTCTGCCCACCCAGCGGACTCTACCAGTACACCAGCTTTAAGGACAAGGCTCAGATAAAAAAGAATGCTGTCCTTTCTTCTACAGCCCCAGGCACTGTGACCACTCCTCCCTCATATCGGGCATCTCCTCTTACGCAGTAGAATCTCTGAACAGAAAAGGACTGTGCTGGGACAGGTATAGGAGGGACTGCTTCACAGATCAGTGGCCAAGGCCGAGGGCTCTGCTCATGCTTTTCCCAAAATTAGTACTATTCTCTACTTAGCTCCTACGTGCAGCAATCACTTGGCTTCCAACATCTTTTAGAGTTGGCCATTAATGTTGGGCATTTATCTTTAGAAACCACCACCCCGTGGACAGAGCACCGGCCCTGGAGTCAGGAGGACCTGAGTTCAAATCTGGCCTCAGACACATAACACTTCCTAGCTGTGCGACTCTGGGCAAGTCACTTAACCCCAACTGTCTCACAAAAAAAGAAAAGAAAAAAAAAAAGAAAAGAAACTACCACCCTTCCACATACACAGACCTCAAATACATGGAGGCTTCCCCCAATCCAGCTTTCACATTCAGAAGTTTTTCTCTCATGGGAAAATTTCTCAGAAGCAGAATGGTACACAAGTTCCTCCCCACCCCACCCCCTTTATAATAATTTCTGGTGTACACATTTCACAATTGCAAATACATAAAATTTAAAAGGTTTTCTACTCTATCACATATTCACACAGGCAAGTATACAATATGTAACAAAGATGGCAACAGTGCCTTTTTTTTTCCTTTTTTTCCCATTCACCTGCTATTATTTGCAAGGACGGGCTATAAGCATGTGACTGAAACATAGGATCACAGATTCAGAGCTGGAACAGAAGGGTCTTTAAAAATTATTGCGTCTCACTTCTTCATTTTACAGAGGGAGAAAGTGAGGCCCAGAGAAAGAAAGGGATTAGCCCAACGAATGAGTGTCCACCCAATATCCCGAAGATAGTCAAGTAGCAGAGCTGAATTTGAATCCATAAGAAGGATGCTACCCTTTTGGTGTGAATAGTCAAATATCTTCCTGTGGCTTCCCTTTTATTCTAAAAATAAGACTCAGCATCTCTTAGCTTTAGTAAAATCATTTTATATACAACAATGTAGAATATTTACAATATAATACTGATTCCAAAATAAAAATAAGCATACAGGTTAACACTGGAAAAGGAGAACATTCTTGGCCTGACACAGAAATGAAGGGTAGGTACTCTGTGATATCTTACACATCATCACTGTTGTAGACCAAACTACCTATGGTGATGGTTTCATGACCCACTCACAATATTTCTCTCCTTGAACAGATGACAGAGTTTCTCTTCATCATCTGACAAGAAGATAAAACACTGTCAGATAGCTGGGTCGCTGGTTCTGAAGACTACCCTTAAGGACCAAATGATTTCTAGACACGTCTTTGTCTCTGCATTACATATAAAAGAACATCTCTTTAAAATTGTCCAATGTGAACATTTCAATTTGAAGAATCTAAGGAGAGATTCCTCCAGGACTTCACAAAAACCATTGGAATTACGTACTTGAGTGATTATCTTGAAATCCAAGAGTGGGATGGCATAAGAGCAACCCTTTGTAGGGGAAGGACAATTTGGACCTTTTATTCCACTGGCATAGGAAACCCCCAGTTTGGAAAATCCCTGCTCTTGAGGCAGATCCCAAACTCATTTGCACCTTCGAGTCTTAGACTCAGAGTGAGTGACAGCAGCCCTCAGCATCCAAGTGCTTTGGCCACGGTCACCCAGCCAGTGTGTGTCAGAAACAGAACAGTGCTCCTGACTCCAAAGCCAGTCCCTAGTCTTACACCATGCTCCACACTGATAGCTGACATGAATGAGTTGAGAACTTACTTCACATCTATTATCTCTCTTAATAATTAAGTTATTGATTTTTTTTTCACTTAAAGGATTAAAGCATAATTAGAAATTAAATTACATCCCATCTTTGCTCTAAAACACAATTGTTTTAGACATAACATGCCTGAAATCAATCATTTGACCTTCGACCTTACGTTACCCTACTCTTACCTAATAATCCTTCAAATTGGTCCTTTCTCAAATGGATAATACACTCAACATGAACTCTCTAAAAAAAAGGGGAAAAAAAAAAAGGTAATTCCTTATATGCACACACTTTAAACACCAACTTCTGACGACCCTCTCCCTGCCCAAGCACATTAATTTATAAAGACACACAAGGACACTGGTAGGATTGGCTCTGCCGCCTACCAGACACCTAACTATGGGTGACCCAAAGGCATTTCACTAAAGAACAACAGTTTTCATAAATAAATCAGTGGGGAGAGGGTCAGAGTTACAACAGGGAAAAGTCAAGACAGTCTATACCTGGGAACTTCATGGCATTCACCACTCTAGGCAGGAGTGGTCTTCATATCAACTCTCCAATTCACAAGGCCTACAGATTAGCAATAACATGTCAAAGCCTTTCAAGAATAGGATGTTCCCTAATATTTACACAAAAAAGAAACACATGAAAGTTTTGTTCAGATTTGCATGACATCTGCTTTTTGCTTCACTAAAGCAGGAGAGATTGCTACTTCAAAGTAAGCACAAGCCCTAGGGGGACAGAGATCCCTGGCTCCAAGGGCTCCAAGCACACCGAGCCCCACTGTCCACACCAATCACTCTGCTCTTTTACAGTCTAGAAGGACAGCCATGACTGAGTGTTTGTAGATCAGATTCCTCAGGTGGCCTATACAGCGTCAGCTCAGTCCTCCTGTGGGCACCAAGCCACTTCCACTTGACTCTACGGACTGATGTTCAACATAGCCTAAGGCAAAACACAGGTAACCTATTGATCACTGTCTCAGACGCCCCCTTACACCATGGCCACAGATCACCACTTCCAGCCCTAACAAAAAACAGGAGAGTTCAAGGTGATGGGTTTTCAAAAATGTCCAGCCCATCAGAACTCTGAGGTGGAGATGATGTCCCAGAAGCTACCACAGAAGGAAAACCTGAGCAACAGTAAGATCAGACTGATGACAGTGCTCCTCAGACGCAAGTGTCTGCTTTCAACACAGCCTTGTGCCTCCCTCAGCCCTAACCTAGATGCCTCACCTTCCCTCTATCGCCAGGAAGAAAGATGGGAAGCTCCATGTTTTGCTGCAGAAACAATCCAGTCGGAAGTTTTCCTGACAGAGGGTGGGGTCTTTGCAACTACCTGTGAATTATCTCCAAACCAGGTTTTCGGATTAGTAAAGAGAAAAGTATCCATTAGACTTTGCTCCTTAACTCCCTCAGGCTTGGGTTTTGCTGCTCTCAGCCAACAGAGAACACAAACATTTGTAACCATGACCATGTAATGGCTCCTCTGATGGCGGAAAGCAAGGCCAAAGGCGACTGATGTCTAGCCACGCTGAGTGAGTTGGACAGCAACATGATGTGGGGGCCCCTACGGGCAAAGAGCCTCTCTAAATGGCCACGGGTGTTCTTACAAACAGCCAGAGTTGGCCCCGTGTGGATCTAACTAATCTGAAGATCCATTCAGAAAAGAGCTTTGAAAAGGTAAACAGCCATGGAGCAGTAGGCCAAGGGATCCAAATCTTCAGCTGGAAATGCAGAACTCTAAGGTGCCCCGCCCTGAAAACATGGACTGTCTCACTTTAGTCTCTGACCCCAGAGCCTGGCACTAGGAGGGGCTGATGTATAGCAGCAGGAGCTTCATCAGTGCCCGCTGGTTAAGAGACTGCTTCGCCCCAACAGAACGGAAGCTCCTTCGAGGCACTGACTGTTTTGCTTTTGCCTCTTCAGCCCCAAGGCCTAGTCCAGTGCCTTAATCAGTGCCAGCTGACTGACCTTGCATGCTACGAAAGTGAACAAACCTATTGTTTCTCTTCCTGAATGGCATCTCGGTTTACATCCCCTAGTCCGCTTAACTACATAGGTACCAAAGTCTCTCTCTAAAGGCCTCCGTTTATTAAAGGAAAACATCACAACAGATTTGTTCTACATTTCGAGGGCCATGTTCTGAAATATGTTCAGTCTAATGAGTGGCTACGCCAGCTGAGTGAACATATGGGAGCAGGAGGGAGAGACATGGCCAAAAAGTCTGAGAGGAAAGCACAGATTTGGGGGGAAACCCAAATAATGCAGAAGTCTCTAGTCTCAGAGTCAACAGATATATATAATGCACAGCCTTCTAAGCCCTCAACCAAAGTTTAGAATCCACACAGGAACAAGGAAGGAGAGACAAAAAAAAAAAAACCAAAACATAGAGAAAAAGGCAACAGGGATAGACAAACTTAAATTCTGGTCTGGAAAAATAAGGCTGACATCTAAGGGACTCACAAGTAGAAAAAGAATAAATGGAGTAGAACCTGCCTTTACTAAACTATTCAAACCCTTTTCATTCCTAACCATTACACAAAGAGAAGACCTTAGGGGACTTTACTATTCTACCCTAGAAAGGCCAGGAGAAAAACAGGAAAGGAAATAAGACAAGTTCTGCACCAAAGAATCCCTCAAACCGAGGCAAGCACAGTGATGCCAGCCTCAGAAGCCAAGCAGGATGAGGAGCGGCTTGCTGGGCTCTCCTGCACAGCCATCTCGAGCCAAAGTCAACCGAGCTACCCACCCCCGATGCTCCTGTCGTCCCAGCCCTGATGGTTCAGGGGGGAGGACACAGGGCACCGAGGGGATTATATTCCACAGTGCCTACTCCAGCTTTTTACTGAGCAAAAACGCCTGTGCAGCTGCTTAGCTACTCATCTCTGGTAAGGTGCTTCTGCGCCTGTTACACATCAAAGGATTTTGGTGACATCACCCGTCCTGTCTGAGAGACACACGAATGAACAATACAGAAGTCACAATCTATCTCTAAGAACTGAGCTTGTCTTAAAAAAATATTACAGTACCAATGATTCTTGTATCTACACCTATACAGCATCTTTCAGCAGTATGGAAATTTAATGAAATTATGATTTATTAATTTACATAAAAATTACTTTGTACAGTTAAGGAATAAATTTTCAAAATGTAAAAAACAAAACAAAAACAAACTAATGCTCTGAGGCTGTGGCTATTGGGACTCATGAGAGGCGGTCTGTTCTGCAATCACTTGTTTCACAATTTCTGCCAATTTTAGTCGATCCACTTTATCTGTGAATCCACGGCCTGAAAACAAACAGACAGACAAAAAAAAAGAACAGAGTCAGTATCAACAGGTTTGCTCTGGCAAAATAATGCCCTGGGGACAGGGATCCAGCAGTGGATGGGGTTTACCATACAACCCAGCTCCACCCAAGATAGGCTCAGGATGGAATCCCCCAAGTGCCCAAGTGTGATCAGTAGCGCATACTTTCATCCGGCCTTTAACCATCAATGCCTGGCCAGCCCCATCACCCAGGGTAGGGGAAAGAGGTACCTTGAGCCTTCTATAAAAAAAAAAAATCACAGTTTACTTATCACACACTCACACACACACACACCACCTTAATGGAGCTCATCTCTGCCAAAGGTAGGAGTCTCTATAAGCTAAGCGACGACCACACAATGTGCCCAGGCAACAAATCTGCAGCCATACCAAGGCAACAGAGGAATCTTCCCCTTCTCCCAGCATTCTGGTACTCACATACTCACGGAACTGGAAAACCATCCAGTCCAAACCATATCTGACTCCAAATCATCCCTAAAAAAGTAATCACCCAAGTCTAAATGCAGACCTCTTGGGAAGCTGCTACTTGCACTGACCCTTCTCCGAGTCCTGTCTTTTGGAGACCAGCAGGACAAATCTAATCTGTATTCTAGCCCTTCAAATATTTCAAAAGGGCTATCAATTTCCTCATGTTGGCTCCCCTAATCTTCACTTTCCAGGATAAAAATCTCCAATTCCTCTAACTGATCTTAGTATGGCGTGATCCTGAGGTCCTTAAACAGTCACCAGTTTATTAATGTTCTTTCTAAAAGGTGGCATTGAGCCTGAAATACACAATTCCAGAAGTAGTCTGACCAGGACAGAAGATGATGGAACTGTCAGCCCTCATTCTGCACGCTTCCTCTTTTCAGGTAGCCTAAGATCATGTTAGTTTTTAGGGTAGCCTCATCACCCAGCTGACTACAAGGGGGAAGTGAACAAGCACTGACATGTGCAAGGGAGAGTGCCAACTGCTTTATAAATACCTTCTCACACCCCTGGGAAGTAGGTACTTGATGATCCCCATTTTATAGCTGAGGAAATGGTCAAACAGAGGTAAAGTGACTTGCCCAGGGTCACACAGTAGGCAAGTTGGTCTTCCTGACTCCAGGTCTAGCTTTCTATCTACTAAGAAACCCAAATTTTTTAAAGAGTAATTGCTACACAGCCACACTTTCCCCTTCTTGTATTTGTGAAGGCGATTTTTTAAACCTAAATGTAAGACTTTATATTTGTCCCTATTAACATTCAGCTTCTCAAGTTTGGCTCAGTGTTGTAACCTGCTCAAATCTTCTGAAATTCTTAAGTCATTCAACATGTCAGTCACTCTTCCTAGATTTATGATGTCTACAACTCTGAGAAGCACACCATATGATTTTTCTCTAGGATCCACCGATAAAAATGTCTAAAGATCCTAGTGGTACTCCATGAGAAACCTCCTTCCAAGGCAACATTATGCTGTGAAGGACTCTTTTTGGGTCCAATTTCAAGTGCACCTCAGTGCACCCTCCTAAGCCCGTATTGATCCATCTTATACACAATGAAACCATGAAACAGTCTTTCAAGCATTTTGCTAAAAGTTCAGGACACTAAAACTCTGGCATTCCTCCAAGCTACCAGACTGGTAACTAACCTAGCTCGAAAAGGAGATAAGGGTAGTAGAATATGACCTGCTCTGTGGTCACCACCTACCTCCTTGTCTAGATGTTCACTGACCATTCCTTTGAAAGTCTGCTCGAGAATTTTGCCAGAAATCAAAATTAAGTTCATTGGTCTACAATCTGTACTTCCACTCTCTTCCCTTTTTGTGAAAAAAATCAGAAAAACACCTGCCCTTGTTTAGTCCTGCAGCAACCCTTCCAATCTTCAGCTTTCCACACAATTTCTCCAACAATTCTCTCAGCACCCTGGGATCGTTGGTCTGGGCCTGACATCTGCAGGGAGCTGAAGTCTGCTCTTCAGGCCCAGCACCACTCAGAGCAGTCTGCCTTTATTTGAATACATCATGGAGAATAAACTTCAAAACAACTTCCCCTTGGCTACGTCCAGATTTAACGAGTTCCCTCACTATCTCCTTTCTTCTAATTGTAAGCTGACAAGAGAGAAGGCAGGTTCCATGGAGCTCAGTCCCATCTCCGTCCCCTCTACGGTAGGCAGCCTGCTGGCACAGTGGATAGAGCTGGAGCTGGAGACAACACTTCCTAGCTGTGTGGTCTTGGGCAAGTTGCTTAACCTCTGCCTCAGTTTCCTCATCTGTAAAATGGGGATAATAACCACACCTACTTCCCAGAATTATTGTGAAGATCAAATGAGACAGTATTTGTAAAGCACTTGCAAACCTTAAAATGCTCTATAAATGCAAGCTATCGTTATCACTCTCCTCTGCTGTCAGTGGCCCCGAGGGCAGCCTCAGACAGTTTCTCCCAAAGTTCCATATCTTGTGAGTTATCGGACCTTCCACCCTCCTCCTTCCTGGTGTGAATGCTTTGGGGCTGTTCTCCTCCAGGATGAAAACGGGGTTCTGAGAATCGCTCACTCACACTCATAATAACAGCAGCAGCAGCCACCACCCCCACCAGTGGGGAGCTGCTTAAAGCCCTGCCCTGCCTCTCTCAGCCCGAGGTCCTGCCACCTTCCCCAGACAACACATCCGCCTCTGTGTGCCATCTCGGGGCTGGCCTCAGGCAGACCCACAAGAGAAAGCGAGCTCTCCCAGCTGTCGTACCATTCCAGCTGAAGCTCTGCAAGGTGTCCCGGAGGAGCTTGCATTCCCGGTTGTACTTCCACGCCTCCTGCATCACCTCATTCAGCTTCTCGTCTTCGTTCTCTCCTATTGAAAGGGATGAACAGGAAGTTGTGTTTTCTCAGAAGCAGCACAGGGTAGAAGGAGCATCAGAGAAGGCCCTTTCCTTAGGTGAGGCTTGGAGGGACTGGGAGAGGGCAAGGAGAAAGGGAGCAGGAAGGAAGGGGAGGACCAGGAGACAGGATTTTTGATCAGTTGATTATCGAAGATCGAATACGTAAACCCTCAGTCTTAGTATCCTTCCCTGCTTGGACCCAGATAGGCCCAGGTCATTAGACCCCCGTGGTTCTTCCTTGTCTCATTCATTTCCCCGCAGAGTACAGCCCTAAACCCTCAATGTTGGGGGATGTAACATGAATCTAGTCATTAGGCTTGATCAAACCCTGAGCAGGGAGGTACGGATGACCACTACCAGACTTTGAAACCCCAAGCCAGGCAGGACAAAGCTCAACAGTCACTTGATTACTTTGAGTTCATTTCCTAACTCAAAAACAATTGGATCACTAAAGAAATGGCTTGAAAGGGCTTGTTTCTGGGCAATTGTGGGAATTCTCCTAAAATCTGAACAGTCACTGAAGAAAGTGAGGCCCTTCAGTCAGCCCTCTGACTGCTGCAAAGACCCATTAGTATCTAACAAGAAGCAAAGGAGAACATACTATGATTATTACTCACAAACACCAAGAGCCTCGAGCTTGGTACACTTTGTACACATCACAAAGTAGCAGCAATGGCCAGTTTTAAACTACTAAGTGCGTTGCTTTTCCTGCTACCAAGAAGCTATGCAAAGTCTTGACCACAGACTCATAAGCCAAGGAGCTGGAAGAGACATTCAGCAATCACTCTTTAATGCAACCTGGACTGATTCACCTAGATTTCAGTCTCCGCTTAGATTTCTACCCTTCCTGTCGGGCTTGAGATAAATTTCCCAACTTCATCCATCTACTCAGAGACTTAACCATGTCCCTCCCTGCAGAAGTCCAAAGGCAAGGAAATCCAAGGACAGAGAACTGACAATATATCTTTGAGGCTCCACGTCTGATTTTGCTTAGTGGGCACAAGATTACCCTGAAGCGTTAAGCACAAAAATAGAAGGGCTGCTATTAAAAGAGCTACTACTTTTCAAACCCAAGCGCACACACGTGCACACACACAGATGACAAACAAAGAAAGCATTCTTAAAGAGTGTGACCTTTACCAGCCTGGGGCAGAATACACTGAGCAATGACATCTCGTAGCTTCTCCAGTGCCACATTGGAGTCCTCTGTTCCATTCTCTGGGTCGTGAATATAGACACCATCCTTCGGCTTTGTGCTTCGAAACGTTGGAGGAAAAGCAATTTAAAAGAAAAAGTCAGATTTCCCAATCCAAATCTCTGAAAAGATGTTAACCCCACATGCACCCAAGGAGAAAGACTTTGAATAGAAAATTGCTCAAATAATATCATGGTAACATCTCCCAAATTCTGATAATGCCTTGAACATACTGAGTCAGATCCTCCCAGGGCATGTGCAAGTAAGGAAGAAAACTGAAGACTCTTTGCACAGCTGGGTTTGGGTAGACAGAACCAAACTACATTAGCCTTGTTGTTTGTAAGGGGAATAAAGCAATCCAGAAACAAAACCAAATTACCCAAGCAATTTCCTCTTTCTGAGAATGGGATTATTTACAGAGTGCAGGGGTTTGAGGCTGACTTTGAGGTCCTGGATTCTCATGTTGGCCAGCTGTTCTGCGTGAGCCTGTTGGATTCCAGCAACTACTGCCTGAATAGAAAGCAGCTGAGTTAGTTCAGCATTTGACACAGTGCCTGGCACACAGCAGGCAATTAATAAATGCTTGCTGACTGATTGAAAAAGGCATGGAGGCATGTTGGAGGAAAACTCAATCATTAAATCCAATTTCACCAAGTATCACGGGGATGGTTCTACCAAACCAAGTTAGGATCCCATCATGGCCAGTGGGTTACCAGAGACATCTGGGTTAGAGCAACTAAAGAGGAATTAGGCTTTAAAAAACAAAGTAGCAGCAGCAGTAGTAGTAACAACAACAATAACAGTAATAATAGTAGCAGTGGTAGTAATAATAATCACTTGTATACTCTTCTGCTGTTACCAAAACATTCTCACACACACCACCCCAGGAGATCCTCACCAAAACCCCTATGAGATACGAAGTGCAAATATTCCCATTCAATGAGTAAGGAAATGAGTGTCAGAGACACCAAGAGACTTGGTCAACGTCCCAGAGCAGCTAGTAAAGCACACTTTCATATTTCATAAGATCTATACTCAGATCTTTCGACCCCTGAGTTCAGGGTTCTTTCCATCAGATCTGAGAGCTAATTCTAGTACTATTATGTAGCCTTACAAAAAGACTACCTATAACTAGCACTCAGTAAAGAATGTCCCAAATCATGGTTCTTCCTCCTCCTCCATCTGCCCCCTAAATGTGAATCAGTCTTTGGCCCTCCGGCTCTTTTGTCTCTACATTCACTGCTTTGAACAGCTTGTCTCTTTTCCCTGCTTCAACCAGACCATCTCTATAGTGATGACTACCAAATACACACCATTAATCCTGACCTCTTGCTTGACCTCCAGCCCTGTATTTCCAACTGCTTAATGAAGGCTTCTACCCAGATATCCCACTATCTTCTCAATATGTCTAAGACCAAACCCAAACTCAATTTCCCCAACTTCCCTCCCAAACTATCTTACCTCTCCCACTTTCCACTTTCTGTCAATCACACCACTACTCTCTAGGCTCAAAACCACCAAATCTTCTCTGAATCCTCCCTTTCCTTTATCCTCTACATCTAGCCAGAAACCAGATTCTTCTGATGGATTTTTCCTTCCAAATGTCCTTCGTATTCCATTTATCCATCCATTCCTTCCTCTTTTTTCCAATGCCAACAAACTCATCCAAAACCCTGACCAGCTCATACCTAGATTATTACCAAAGGTTCCTAGATGATTTCTCTACCTGCCGTTTCTCCTTCCAAACAAAGTCATACACTAATTGCAACTAACCTTCCTAAAACACCACCTTCTCTACAGCCCTCTGCCATCAGAAACCTGTAATGGTTCCTACAGCATTAAGTCCACACTCTTCTGCCTTGCTTTCAAGCCCTTTCACATCCTGGTTCCCTCTCCCTAGCAAACTTTATCTGAGTCACAACCTGAGTCAAACTCAGTTTCCTCCAGGTTCAGAGTCCAGGCTTTTGTTCCTGGTGCTTCACTAGCCCCTGGGAATGTCTCAGGCTCATCCGAGGCCCAGCTCGAGGCCTAATTCCTCTAGGATCCTTCTTGGATTCCTCTGGCCCATGTTAATTACCCTCTTCTCTGCACTCTAAAAGCCTCTGCAGTTCTACACAATGACATAATCATCTGCTGTCTGACACTATTTTCCAACTGTTTGCTACATTAGAAACAAGGCTTTAAGCAGCCTGAGGTCAAGGACTGAGTCTTCTCTATGATCCACAATGCAGAACACAGGGGTAGATATAAGAGAGGTGCTCAACAAACATTAAAAAAAAACAAAGGTAACTGGGAATAGAGACCTACATTCCAACCACTCCAACTGCAGGTGGGCAGTTCCCTGGAGTATATGTCCCAGGTCTTGGTCTAGTCTTTTATGAAAACAAGTACTTCCTTTTACACAAATGTCCTCTCTTTGATTCTACCTGAGTACCACAGAAATCTCCTAAAAGGACAACTGATCATAACATGATACTTCACCCCTACATTCCTGCTAGAATAGTCTTTCCCAGAAACAAAAGAGGTGTCAGCAAAAACCTTGTCCATCATCAGCTGGGCAGATGGCAGCACGTTGTCCAGAGCTTCATCAGAGTTTAGCCATGGGTGGTCCAACACCCCCTCAATGGTAAGCCGCTCCTCTGGCTTGACCTTCAGCAATCTGTGGGAAGAAGACAAGCACGCTTGACGTGTCCAGCTCCTGGTGGGAATCCTAATAGAAACACATGACTTAGAGCAGTTTTCATCCTTTCCAGCTTCTCCTCACCTTCCTCATTTTGCCAGTCAAGCTCAATGAAGCGTATGGTATATAAAAAGCCCTATATAAACTAATCTCTCCTACTCTACCCTGTGGAATTCCAGTGTTAATACTGCCATCTCTTCAAGAATCCCTGGTCAATTCACACTGGGGCTAAATTGCTAACCTATCATTAGGATCAGACCCACTTGGCTTCAGGTTACAGATGGATGACTTGGCAGAAGCAGAAAGGATACACCACAGAGAAGAGGATTTAGTTCAGGTATATTTAGACACTCTATTTCTGAATATTAATTATTTTACACAAAGGATGACTACAGTGAATGGCTATTCTGGCCAATGCTGAGAGCAAATGAGACCACAAAGCAACAGAGCTAAAAGTAGGACCACAGACTTGCTCTTACTTTCATGGGACAATCTAAAGCTAATATCAGTATTTCTAAGGTCTAGGCACCGGCACTCAGACTTGGAATACTGCTACATAGCCTATGGATGGTTAGATCAGACTTGGGGAACTAACCAATAAATTTCTGATTATCCTTAGCAAACATAGTTGACTTCTACTGCATTCCCTCTCATAGTTCTGCCACCCAAGTCTAAATTACTCAGCTGATCTTTCAAAGTTTGTGACTCTTTGGGCTACTCAGTTCAAGTTTCTAAAAAATAATCTGGAATGGATCTATACTTTGTTATTAAATTAATTACATAAATTAATTACACTTTCTAGAAAGCTAGAGATTGCAGAGAAACTAACAAAAAGCCACCTATGAAGTAAAGATTCCCATTAGGATCATGTGATCATAATTTAGATTTGGAAGGGACCCTAAGTGTCATCAAGTTCAACCACCTCATTTTAGAGACAGGAAACTAAGGCCTAGAGAGATGAAGTGATTTGTCAATGTCACCCAGGTGGTAAACTGAAGACAGGAACCCAGGCTTTCTGTCTTCAAACCCAGAGTCCTTTTCATTAAGCTTTGCTCGCCAACAGGTTAATGGCATTCAAGTAGGCATGATGGACAACACCAGCAAGAAACACTGTACACAAGCAAGAGTAAGTGGATGCAATTTTTCTAATGTAGGATGACCAGTTTCTCCGTGCATATATCACAGTAACGTTGTCTAACGTAGGCTAAAGCTAGATCAACAAGTGAGATGCCACGGGAAGGGGCACTTGGGAGTGGCACACCAGGGACTGAAGAAGAAGAGCTGCCTGGCAGCAAGTATTGAAATGGCCACTCAAGTGTAACTCGGCAACAAATTTGTATAAAATAGAAACTACTCTTCTGTATGGCTTTTAAAAACCTCATCAGCTGGCTCCCACCCTACCTTTCCAGCTTCACTCTACATTATTCCCTTTCATGCACCTGGCGGTCCAGCCAAACTGGCCTTGCTGTTCCATTCTACAAAGCTCTCTCCCCCATCTCTGTGGTTTTGCATTAACCAGCTCTGCCCCCTCCCACAAAACCTGCAATGTTCTCCCTCCTTGCCCTGACCTCACAAAATCTCTCCTTTGCTTCAAGACTCCACCCAAGCACTGTCTTCTATAGGAAGTTTTTCCTGATCCCCTTTTCCCTCCCAAACTACCTTATGTTTATCTGGATCTTATATACTTCCTATGTACTTGCTGTCTTCCCTAATAGAGGATAAGCTCCTTGAGGACAGGGACTGTTTTCTTTTTGTCTCTGCATTCTCACCTCTGAAAAGAGGGCCAGACACATAACAGGCATTTAGTAAATATCTGTTGATTGAACGATGCTTCAGACCCAGATGAAATTCCAGGGCTTGTCTACCCCATCTGCATCCCCAGTAGACATCAGTAGCATGGCATATCACAAGATCTTCCTGAAAGGCAGCCAGGAGAGCTATGTGTGTATGCTGCATGTGTGTTTTTCTGAGGTATGTGTGCGTACATGTGTCTGCTTCTTCATCCCCAGAGCATCTTATGCGCTATGACTAGGCTCAGGTCCTCTCCGATGGCTAAGGATCAGTCTTCCTAAATTAGGTGAGGCTGAAGATAAAGTCTACTTGAAACAGCCTAGACTTGCATCTCGACAATAGCATGAATCTGACCTAGCAAGCTCCTTAGGGACAACAACTGATTTATTGTGGTCTTTACATTCTCATCATCAGCTGTAGTGCCTAGCACACAGTAGGTGCTTAAAAAAATGCTTGATGAATTGGACAGAATGGAATTGGTTTGAGAATCCCAGATATAAAACATGGAGATACATTTCATCAGCATCATGGAACACAGACAGGCATTAAGAGAAGTGGCAAAGATAATTCCCATTTTACAGATGAAGAAACTGAGACTCAGCTTTGCTTAAGGCAAAGCAGTGAAGGCACAGCATAGCACCCAACCCCTTAAGCTACACTATTTTATGCAGAGTTGGGTGAAAAAATAAATATATCTCTAATCTCAAATCCCACCTTCTCCACAAGGCCTTTTTCCTTTGCCAAAGCTGCTAGTGCCTTCCCCTCTGAAAAACTTCCATTAACTTTATACACACCTAGCATTTATCCAGTTATTTACAAGTTGTTTCCCCATTAGAATGTAAGCTCCTTGAAGGCAAGGAATGGTTTTGCCCTTTTTGAACCCCTGGCATTTAGCACAGCGCCTGGCACATAACAAGCACTTCATAAATGAGTTTTGATGGACTGATTTTCTATAAAATCTCTCAGTTCCTCACAGAATCACAAAGCTAGATGACCTCTGTGGCTATATGGTATGCCAGTTCAATCTAAATCTGGAGAGGAATATCCAACAAATGATGGACAATGCACTTGGTGAGAAGGCGTGCGGCATCCATCTGAAGACTCCAAAGGGAAGATGAGCCCACTGCTCTTCAGGCAATCCACTGCCTTTCTGGACAACTCTAACAAGATGTTGACACTCTCCTCTTTCCTTTTGTCAAAACCCAGGACAACAGCTGACCTTCAATCTTGTACCACCTCTCTCATTTCCAGGGACTCTCCAAGATCACTGATCAGAAATCAGAAAGACTTGGTTCAATCTCTGCCTCTGACATGTTGGCTTGTATGACGAAGACTAGGGAATAACTTAAACTTTCAGTGCCCTCAGGAACGCCCTAAGACAAAAATGGGTTATTCCTATGCTTATGTAGAAGGAATCTCCGAACCAAAAGATTCCTAGAGACTAATGAAATCAAAGGCCTAATCAAAAAATAATTAACTAATTAAGGTATGCTTTGGTGTGCAAAGACAAAAACAAGTCCTTGTCTTCAAAGAGTTTACATTCTACTGGATATAACTTAGTAAGTCCTAGAGACTTGCCTGAGGCTATGTAAGAAGTTAAGCAGATTGCTCCAGATCACAGAGCTGCTAAGTTCCAGAGGAAGGATTCGAACACTGGTCTTTCTGATTCAAGTTCTGCTCTCTATTCAACAGGTCAATCTGTCTGTTGCTAGACCACCTTAAGGACACCCAGCTCAGAGGCCAAACAGTACTGAACCTTGTTACTGGGAGGCCAAGTCCTCTTCTGCTACCTACAGCATTCCTTTCTAAGCTTGGCCCACGTAGGCATTAGTACTACTGATTCCATTCTTCCTGTACATTACTTACTTCTCTGTCCATCCTCTCTGACTGGCCTGCTTCAATCATCTCTTAATAATCAAAACTGGATGAAAAACCTGGGAGATTATATATGAAGAAAGTAGAATCAGGAGATCATGTCTGACTCTTCATGACCCCAATTGGGGTTTTCTTGGCAGAGATACTAGAGTGGTTGACGATTTTCTTCTCCAGCTCACTTTACAGATGAAAAAACCAAAGCCAACCAAGTTAAGTGATTTGCCCAGGGTCACACAGCTCATTAGTATCTGAGGCTGGATTTGAACTAGGGTCTTCTTGACTCCAGGCCCAGTGCTCTATTTACTGTACCACTGAGCTGCCTTTGCAAACCTCAAAGATCTCTATAAATGTCAGCTCTTATGTCCTGCAAAAGAGGGACTGGACTTGCTCTGCCCAGCCCCTGAGGACAGAACTCGGAGCAAGGAGGGAAGCTTTGAGGAGGCTGGTTTTCAGTTCAGTGTAAGAAAAAAACTTACTCAGAATCAGGGCATTCCAAAATGGAACAGGCCAGCGAGGAAGAGGCACGCCTGGGGTCCTTGCTGCCAAGGGGTCCACACAGGGAGCCTCTGGGAACACAAAGCTCCTGAGCTGACCAGAGTGGGGCAGCCCCTGCCTGTAATTCCAGCCTCAGGGAAACAGGAAGACCAGGCTCTATTTTTCTTTTAAAGTGGACCAGGCTGCCTGACTAGATGGTGAGCCCTTGGTCATTACAGATCTCCAAACAAACGACAAATATGACCATACTGAGGATAACATAAAGGGTACTTGTCCTCATGTATGGCTTAGACTAAAGGGACACAGGGATGTCTTCTCTAACTCAGTGATTCTGGGTTTCTGACCTCAGGCAAAGCAAAAAGAGTGACAAGGAAATACCAAGGGTCGTGGAAAAACACAGTTGTTTGGGCTCATTGTCCCTCCACAGCAGTGGGAGGTCATGCCAGCAATCCCTCCCCTGTCCACCCACAAACTCTAGCCCTCCCCCACCCTTCCCAGTCCCTGCTGATCTGTTCAAATGAATAACAGAGAGGTAACAGAACAAAGCCTCTGTGGACTCACTTTCTCACAATGTCTTTGGCCATCTCTGAGATTTGGCTCCATTCTTCCTCAGGAAACTCAAAGCTTCCTGTCATGATCTTTCTCCGCATGTCCTTTGGAATTGTCCGGCTGTGGTGTTTGGAGTAAAAAGGTGGGTAGCCGCACAGCATCACATAAATGATCACCCCCAAGGACCACAAGTCACAGCTCTGAAAGCAAGGAGAGGGTCACTTTGGGGCACAACGGGGGACGGAGAAGAGCCAGGAAACAACCCTCACTTGATCTATAGCAGACAGGCTATCTGGAATACATTTAGCTGGTCTGGACTGTAGGTTACCACTGCTGGAGAGAAATATTCCCAGTTCCTAAGACAGCAAACCTTCCTATTCAAAGTATTTATTTTTATGCAGCCAAAGCAATATCCAGACACAAAATACATTCGATTCAACAAACGTTTATTACAAACTGCTCCAAGGGGAAAATGTAAATGATTGTCACGTGTCTTCCCCTTTGCCAGCCCCAAAGCACATATTCAACCACCAGCCTGGACTACGGTAGAAGGCACAATCCTTTTCCTGGCGCATAAGAATAAATCTAAGCCAGGTCACAGGTGGATGTCCTGTGTGGGGAAGAAAAGACACTTTACCTTGATAATCAACATAATGACTTCTGAAAGGGACTGCCAAGGTAGCTCCTAGTACATCTTAGAGGCCTCAAGGACAAGCGCCCTAGTCAGCTCTGTCACCAGGGTATCTTCAATGGCAAGGGTTAGGACTCAGAGGATCTGGGTTTGAATCCTGGCTCTGCTGCTTGCTAGCCATGTGACCTTGAACAAGTCATTTCCTGTGTATCTTGGGGTCTTTGTCTATAAGATGAGGGGGTCGGACTAGTTGCCCTTTAAGGACTCTTCCAGCCTTAAGTCTCTGATGCTGAGCAAACACTCTCCCAGACCTTCTTGCACAGATGGAAACACTCTGACAAAAGCAGAGTTATTCTTTGGTAAGCTCATCACCAGACATGGGGCAAGTCCTGGGCTCTGGCCAAGGGGATTCACTCTCTTCTTCCAGACAGTCTCAGCCCTTCTTCAGACCCCGAACACGACTCCCAGGTGACTTTGTCATGTCACACGCACTGGGATCTGCTCCTGCCCCCACAATGGGTCCTTTTGTTAGAACAGCAGTGATGAAAACAGTTCATGCTGTAGTGCTTGAAGATCTGTACACTCTCTCTACGGGTGCTTCGCCAACAGCCCCACCCCCAGGGAGGTGGGTGCCAGGTTTCCCCAATGGACAAAAAGGAATCAAAAGGCCTTCCTTGGATCCTTCTGCCCCAAGCAGCCAATGCTTCACTTCTTGTCCCTCTCCCTTCCCTGTCAGATGTCTCCAAAAAGGTGCCTGCCCTTCTATTTCCTGACTGACTGCTCTATGTTCCTCAAATACTCCCCCTGCTTTCCCCCTACCACACCTTTCCTTACACTATTCCTGTGCCTAGCATCACCTCCTTCTTCGTCTTCACTTTTGAATTCTTAACTTAAAAAAAAGCCCAACTTGAATATCACCCCTTCCATAAAGCTTTCCCTGATTCCCTAGATGTTAACGACCTTTCTCCACAGACCTCTCACGTAACACTGTGTGGGACAGCTGGGCCTGGAGTCAGAAAAACATGAGTTTAAATCCAGCCTCAGATACTTCCTAGCTGTGTGACCTTGGGTAAATCACGTCACCTCTGTCTGCCTCAGTTTCTTCATGTGTAAAATGTGGATTATAATAATACCTACCTCTTAGGGTTGTTGTAAGGACCAAATGAGAAAATATTAGTAAAGCACTTAGCACAGAGCCCGGCACATAGGAGGTGCTATATAAATACTTGTTTCCTCCCCCACCCCTCATCTCTGTTGTACCCAGGTCCCAAATAAAAGTTTGTATTATAGTTATCTGTGTTCAGATCTTTTCTCTATTATGTTGTAAGCTTGCCAAGAGCAAATACTATGTGTTATCTAAATTGTGAATCTCCTCTACTACTATGTTCTGCAAACAGTAAGCACTTAATAAATAATAAATAATGTATAATAATAGAAGCCTAAATTTAGAGCCGGAAGTCATCTAGTCCAACCACCTCACTTTACAGATGAAGAAAATGGGGCCACAAGAGGTAAAGGTCACACAGGTGGTAAGAGGCAGAGCCTGGATTTGAACTTAGGTCCTCTTAATTAAACTCAGCATTCTTCACACTTTATCATGCTGTTGAAAAAAAGGCAGCTTTGGCCTCGGAGTCTGAGTTGGCAGGAGGCCCAGCTCTCTCCCCTTCGAGGTGCAGCAGAAGCAGCAGTGTGGAGACAGGTGAATGCACTCACCCATAGGTGCCTCAATTCCTTTATCCACAGAACGCTGGGGTTGGACTAGAGGCTCTTAAGCTAAGTCTCAGCTTTGGCCTTGTCCTTGGTAAGAGAACAATCAAGGTAAAAGAACAATCCCCCTTCTGGGTAACAGTCCTGCCAGCTGTCCTTAGGGCCTGGGCTCCACATGGCCTGCCACAAGAGGGACCAGCTCCCCAACAACTGGCCTCTCGGGGCTCTTCGGAGGTGGCTTGGTTCAAGAGAGTTTCAGACACTGTTTCAGAAGCTCTTGACAGTGGAGAGGAGGAACTGTCTCTTTTCATTCTCACTAGGCTACCCACACCACTGAGAAGACAAAATGCAAGGAAGGCAAATGGAGGCCCATTTCTTAGGGAAATCAAGACCCTTTAGGATTAACTATTCTGTCAAGCTGACCTGCCAAGTGAGAACCCCTCAGCCCCGGAAACACTAACCAGGTCTGCCCAAGGGGGTCTGTCTCCCTCTAGGGAAGAGATATGATGGGTTCTTCCACCCAGTTAATGGCTTCTGCCTGGGCCAAATGTCACTGTTCTCCAAAGGCACTTTCATTGCAAACTGAATTGAGATTATATCAATGAGGCCAACCTCTGTTAGTTTTGCTAACTTTTTTCTTTCTTTTTTCTTTAAAAATAATACTTTTTATATAGGACGATGCTCTGGGAAGAGGAGGGAGAGGAATATTAGGGGAAATTTTAATGATGTAAAAATCCAAAAGATAGCAATAACATTTATCTTAAATATATATAGATATACATATATATACATATAAGTATGTATTTTAAGATGTTATTGCTTTCTTTTGGTTTTTTACATCATCAAAATTATATGTATTTAATATATATAAAAATATATATAGCACATACCAAATGAGAATTTCTATTGAGCTCCTGATGTGCCCCACCAACTGGGTCCCAGAAAAACTAAGGATCACGAATATGAGAGAAGCACTATGGAATCTCCCTGGCACAGTGAGGCATTAAACCCAAGTCACCACCAATTTGACATTTTATTAAAAATAACAAGCCCGTGAGATAAATAGGCTCAAATCACTACTACCTACACCCTAGAGAAAGCCAGGTCAAATATCTTGGTCAAAGGTTTGAGTTTCATGCCCCTTCAATGCTCGTGCTAGATTCTAATGATGGAGGTTGGTCTATCCTCCTCCCTGCTATACTGTACGCAGACCAAGCTCCTGCCTTAGCCACACTCTGTACCCTGCCCAACGCCATGCTCTGTACCCAGTGAGCACTCAATAAGCGGTCATCAAGACAGGCAAGGCAGTTCAGGGGAGTGAAAAGAATATTGGGCTAGGGGCCACAGAACACAGGATCTCCAATGATATGTAAGCCCTTTGCACAAGGGGGAGTCAAACTCAAATAAGAAGAGAAGGTCTAAAAAAAAAAAAAAACAAAAACAAAAAGAAGAGAAGATCTACCACACAGTGACTTAGAAAGCCACAAAACAACATTACCGATGTTGTGCTGTATTTTTATTTACTTTGTTAACCATTTCCCAATGGCTCAGGTCACACAGTGGGGGTAGGGGGCTCAGGGGACACAGTCAGACCTCTACATCCCTCATCTGCAGCACAGCGCCCAGAACACCAGAGACACCAATAAATGCCTGTTGACTGATTAACTTAGGTTGTGTCTACATGACAGTTAACGGTTTAATCCATCAAAAGTCCAGTTAATTTGGATATTTAACTCCCTTGTATTTATCCTGTATCTACACATATTTTCCCAGGTTGTTTTCCCTGATAAAACATAAGCTCCCCAGGGGCAGAGGTTGTTTTACCCTTTGTCTTTGTCTCCTCAGTGCCTAGCACACACTAGGTACTTTATAAATGTCTGCTTCATTGACTGACTGGATAGCCTACCTTGATGTTTGACAAAACATCCGAAACCTAACTGAACAATGACTATAGCAACTGGATGGTCTGAGTGACACCTAAGGGGTGTTTGCTGCATCACTGACTCACAACGATAAGCTCACGGGCTATGGGATGGCAGACACAGGACCCCAGAATCTTCAGGCTACAAGGGACCTTAGCGACCACCCCATTCGAACATTCAACTTGGAAGGCCCAGAAGTTAAATGACTTGATCGAGGCTATAGTTAATGGTAAAGCCAGGACTCAACCCTGGATCTTCAGAAACCCCAGGCGTGGCTCTTCCCGTCCCGCTGCACTATCTATCTCCCAACTGTCTACTTCCACCCTAAAGGCCCTAGGAACCCTAAGGGCTCCACTACATTAGCCCCTTCAGTCCTTTTCTCACACCCTTACACCTGTACGGTTCTACAGCAGTTGTTCCCAAAGTCTGGTCTATGTGACAGACCACTGGGCTTGGAAGTCAGCAAAGACCCAAGTTCAAATTCCACTTCAGTCACTCACTAGCTGTGGGATGTTGGCCTCAGTTTCCTCTTCCGTACAATGAGGAGCTGGACTTGATGGCCTCAAAGGTCCCTTCCAGTTCTAGAACTACGATCCTGTGATGATCCTCTGAACAAGAAGAGATTCTCTTGTGTAATCATCTTCAACACCTCAAGATCGGTGATTTTACTGGCGCAGGCAATCCAAAGGTGACACTTGCATAAGTGTCTGAGTGTCTATGACATGGAAACTGCCACCCTTCTTTCTGGCACAAATTCCTCTGTTATCTTTCAGAAAACATCAGACAGCCCTTCACTAACGTCTCATCAAAAGCAACCTCACTCTTCCTGTTCATTTTGAACTAGCAAAAAGGAGTGTCAATGAAAGGAGCTCTGAGGGATCCTTTGTCCCAAAAAGAGAAGTCCTCAAAAATGCTTGAGAACCACAGCTTCAAAATAAAATCAGATACAGCAGAACATAAAGCCGGCAAAACGGAACAAAGTGAGAACTCCATTTCCCACAGAAAAGCAGAAACAGCCCTGAAAGTAACCACGGCTGGTGGGTCCTCCCACAGAAACTCTACTGTTCTGTACTACACATCAGGCAACAGGTAAAAATGGCAAAACCCTCCCCTGGCTACAGCTCCAGGCTCTTCCTGGCAGATACCAAAAGTGACTAACTACTCTCTCTACCACCTCCCTCGGGCACCTCCCATAAGGAGATGACAAAGAGATGTGCATCCAAGAAGCTTACCTTGTTATAAGTGTAGGGTGTGGGCGAGGTAGGTATAATCCCAGACTTCTCTTTTTGATGCCTTCTTTGTGCCTCCAATACCTGTTGGACCAAGCCAAAGGCAGAAAAATCACCATTAACCACAAATACCATTCACCTTGACCTTAGGACTTCTGGGAAGGCCAAAGGGTTGAACAACTGCTAACCAGAAAAGTCAACTTGACTTTAGTCAGCTTTCCAGTCATATATATATCTCAAGTCCTTTTCTTTCCCTGCAAGGTTAGGATCCAGTTGGGAAAGTTCATCTCTCCTAAAAACATATCTTGCTGTGCTAGGAACAAATTTTAATCATGTTCTGCTATGTAAATTATTGTCAGTGTTTATTCTACTGAGAAATCCATTTGAGCTGCTCTGAGCCTATTCCCAGGCTACTGGGACGTGAGAAAGGAGCTCCTGATGCGTTTCCTTACAGACCCATCACAACTCCCTGATCAAGGGAAGGGAGACGATGGCACTTCTTTCAAAGGCACCATACTCTGGCTTTAAAACTGGACAGGACCTCAGAAAAGAATCACCTAGACCAACCACCTCATTCTGCAGATGACGATGCTTGAGGGCCACAGAAGGAAAGTCCCTTTCTTGAGGTCAAACAGTTAGGAAGTAGCAGAGACAGGATTCAAACTCAAGTTCCCTAATTCCAAATTCAGTGTTTGTGTTGCCTTTTTCTGGAGAGGTATTCACTTTTTCAGGCTCCTAAGAGCCCATTCCTAGGTGATGAGACAACAAGCTTCTCCCAAAGTCGTGTGAAAAAGCTAACCCATCTCTAAAAATGGAAAGAATCAGGTCTTTGAAAACCAAGAGAAGTAAGAGAGCCCCTGGATGGAATCAATGAGTTTGAGTCACCAGCCCCAAATGAAGTCCTTCCCAAGGTCCTAAAAGACTTGAAGTTTGTGACTGCTCAGAGCTGAAGGATCATGGAGAAGGAACAATGTTTCCCAGAACTAAAAAGAGGGAAATACTGACTGGATTTTCAAAAAGAGAAAAACAAGTAGAGTCAGCAAACTAGGGGCTGATGAGCTTGACTTCGATTCATTGCAAACCTCAAAATTTATAATTAAAGGAATAGTTTATGATCATTTTGAAAGAGTGATGATCATTAATAGGCAGAACAGCTTCATCAAAAACAAGTCATATTAAACCAATCTCATTTATTTTTGATAGGATTATTTGACTGGAAGATCAGGGAATACTGTAAACGTGCCCAACCTTGACACCCAGCAGGCATTTAATAAATATTTGTTCATTACCTGATTGATATCTAGTTAATTTAGAAAGATATTCACGTTCTCGTTGTGGATGAGAGGGTGAGATGTAAGCTGGACAATCAGGTGCATTGAGAACTGATGGAATGACGAGACACAAAGAAGAGTTGTTGTTCTTGCTGAGTCATTTTGGTCGTGTCTGACCCTTCATGAGCCCATTTAGGATTTTCTTGCAAACACAGAAGTGGTTTGCCATTTCCTTCTCCAGCTCATTTGACAGATGAGGAAACTGAGGCAAACAAGGTGAAGTGACTTGCCCAGAGTCACACAGCTAGCATATGTCTGAGGCCAAATTTAAGCTCATGAAGATGAGTCTTCCTGATTCCAAGCCCAGTGCTCTATCCCCTGAGCTACCTGGTTGTCCTTCAAAGAAGAAAACGAAGTAACAACTTGCAGAGGGAGGGATAAGCTACATCCCATTCAGGGGAGCCAAACATGGTGAACTGACTGGTAACCAGGCCATATGAAGAAGATCAGTTAAAGACACTAAGAACGATTAACCTGAAGAGAGAAAACTCAGTAGGAACATCATGGCTATCTTCCAGTACTGAAGGATCTTAATGGGAAAGAAGCATTGGATGTATTCTCAGAATTAGAGGGCAGAACTTGGAGGAATGGGGGGAAGTTAGAGATTTATGCTTGATGTAAAACAAAAAAAAAACAACAACACCTTGCTACCTTGCTAACAATCAGAGCTACCCCCAAAGTAGAAGGAGTTGTCTCAAGAGGGAGTGGCTCCCCATTAGTAGGTCTCCAACAAAGACAATCATCTACTGGGGACATGGCAAAAAGGTTTACTGGTCACACACAGGTTAGGTTCTGACCAGGGATTCCATGAGTAGGCACAGAGCCCAAGAAGATCAAAGATAGGAGGAAAGGTCAATAAACAGGCAGAGCAGCCCTCAGGAGACAGCCCTCAATTAAGGAATGGCTAACAAAAGTGGTTTGATGTAATGGATTATTACTACCCTATAAGAAATGAAAGCAGCTGAACGGCACCATAGTGCACAGAGCGCCAGGCCTGGAGTCAGGAGGACTCATCTTTCCGAGTTGAAATCTGGCCACAGATACAAGCTGCGTGACCGTGGGGAAGTCACTTCACCCTGTCTACCTCAGTTTCCTCATCTGAAATGAGCTGGAGAAGGAAATGGAAAACCACTCCGGTAACTTTGCCAAGAAAACCTCAAGTGGGATCACAAAGAGTCAGACATGACTGAAAATGGCTGAAAAACAACAAGAAGTGATGAATATGATGAATGCAGAGAAACTTAGGAAGATTTATATGAACTAATGCAGAAGAGAGTATGAAGAACCATGAAAACACAACAATGATAACAACAATGTAAACTGAAAGAGCAAAAAGAAGCCAACTAAAGGTTCCGTAAGTATAATGACCACAATTAAACCTAGAAAAGAGAATTCTCCATTCTTTGCCAGGGCGGGGGACTATGGGTGTGAAGCACTCCATGTACCAGGCCTGTACAACCTGCAGCCCACGGACTGCTTATGGCCCCAGAGGCTGCAGGTTGTGCAGGCCTGACATATACCATCAGACTCTTTTGATATCTTGGTTAATTTTGCAGGACTGCTTTCTTCTCTTTTCTTCTTTTTTACTCCTTGATACAAAGGATGGCTTACTATGTAGGAAATGAAGAAGGAATATAATTGGAAAATGAAAGCGATAAAAAAACGCAAAAGAATAGGAATTGGATATGTGATTTCACTGTGGGGAACTCCCAGGTGAAGAAACTTTCTCTACCAATGCAGGTGGGCACCTTCTATGCAACAGTTCTTACAGCAGGGGTCCATGAATATTTTTAAAAATATCTGATAACTGTATTTCAATGCAATTGGTTCCTTGTATAACCCTATGCATTTTATTTTTGTACATTTAAAAACATAATTCTAAGAAGGGGTCCATAAGCTTCACTAGATTGCCCAACGGGTCCAGGACCCAAAATTGGTTAAGAATCCCTGCCTTAGAGGTAGACTTCAGAAAAACCTAGAAAGACTTGTATGGACTGATGTGAAGTGAGTGAAGTGAGCAGAACCAGGAGAATGGTATACACAGTAACAGCCACGTTGTGAGATGACTAACATTCTCAGCAACGCAAGGATCTAAGACATCTCCAAAGGTCTCATGATGGAAAATGCTATTCACATCCAAAGAAAGAACTATGGAGTTTGAATGCAGATCGAAGCATACTATTTGCTATTTTTTTCTTCTGTGTTGTTTTGTTTTCTCTTTCTGGTGATTTCTCCTATTGGTTCTAATTCTTCCTTACAAATCACTAATGTGAAAATATGTTTAATAGGAATGTATATGTATAGCCTATATCAGATTGCATGCCATCCTGGGGAGGGAGACAAGGATGGAGGGGTAGGAAAATTTTAAATTCAAAAGCTTATGGAAATGATTGTTGATAAATTAAAATAAATTAAAAAAAAAAAGAAAAGAATCCCTCCTTAGAAAATTACCCAGGGTCACATAGTCAGAATGTCAGAGGTAGAGCTTGAATCCAGATCCTTCTGGTTTCAAGTCCAGCTCTCTAACTACTATGTTATGCAGCTGCCTTTCCAACAAACAAACAAAAAAGTATCTTTAAAAATGTTTTTAAAAAAACACAGTTCAAGAGAATTATTAATTGCTCATGAGTAGACCCAGCTAACATAAGAAAAATGACAATACTATCCAAATTAATTACCAAAGCATTACTTTATGGAGCTGGAAAAAATAACGGCAATATTCATCTGAAGGAATAAAAGGTCAAAAATCTCAAGGAAAATAACGGAAAAGGAAAAAAAAAAGGAAGGGAATTTAGCAGTAGCAGATCTCAAATTATACTACAAAACAGTAATCATCAAAATGACTTGGTACTGGTCAAAAGAGAGAGATCAATCATTTTAAGAGATTAGGTACACAAAACTCAGAAGCAAACAAATGCAGTAGCGTAATGTTTGATGAACTCAGAGACCACAGTTACTTGCATAAGAACTATTCAACAAAAACTAATAGGAAAACTGGAAAATAGTTCAGTGTAAACCTGTTAGAGATCAACATCTCATATCACATACCAAGATAAGCTCAAAATGGATGAATGATTTAGACATAAAGGGTGACAAAATAAACGCATTAGAGGAACAAGGAAGGAATCACCTTTCAAATCTATGAATAGGGGAACAATTCGTGACCAAACAAGATAGAGAGAATCTCAGAAAAAAAAATTTCAATTACATAAAATTTAAAGTTTTTGCACAAACAAAACCAATCCTGCTAAATTAGAATGGAAGAAAGCAACCAGGAAAAATATTTATAGAGATTCTCCAATAAAGATCTCATTTCCAAGATATATAAGGAACTAATTTAAATTTATAAGAATAAGAATCATTCCACAAATAATAAATGGTCAAAGGATATGAACAGGCACTTTTCAGAGGCAGAAATCTAAGCTTTCAAGAGTCATATGAAAATATGCTTCTACTAATAACCGGAGAAGTGGAATTCGAGTGACTTTGAGGTTCTACCTCATACCCCTTAGATTGATAAAAGTGACAAAACAAGAAAATGAGAACTGCTGAAGGAGCTAAAGGGAAATATGCACTTTAATGTATACTCCTGATAGAGATGTGAACTGGCCTAGCCATTCTGGAAAGCAATAGCATCTACACTCCAAAGAAATCAAAGAAAGGAAATGGATTCTTATGCACAAAAATATTTACAGCAGCTTTTTTTGTAGTGGCAAAGAATTGGAAACTAAAAAGGTGCCCATCAATTGAAAAAATGGCTTATGGTATCAAAGTGTAATAAAATATTATTGTGATATAAGAAACAATGAAGGGAACAGCTTCAGAGAAACCTGAGAAGACTTGAAATGATGCAGAGGGAAGTGAATTGAACCAGGAGAACAATTTTTATAGTAACAACATTGTCAAAACCAATAATTGTGAAAGACTTTTAAGAACTCTGATTAATGCAAACATCAACCTCAATTCCAGAGGACCACGATCAAGCCTGCTGCCTGTCTCCTGACAGAGAGGTGACAGACCTAGGGTGCAGATTGGTACACATATTTTTTGACATTTTCAATGTAGAAATTTGTTTTGCTTGACTACATATTTGTTACAAGGGTTGTTTTTCTCCCCAGTGGAAGAGGTGATAAGAGGGGAAAAAATGGATTTTTGTTCATTGAAAAAAATTTAACTTCTAAAAAAGATACATTTTAGACTAGATGGTATCTAAAGTCCTTTCCACCTTTGAGATTTTATGGGTACTAAAAAATTGATGAGATGTTGGGGTCCCATTTTAGAGAAAAACCTCCATGAAGAAGGGGGAATCAGTAAGGTATAAGTTTAATTAATGAACAAAGCTTATCAACTCTGTATTACAGAAAGCACAAGAATTACCTACCTAGAAATAACAATGAGGGTATGTACCCATGTGGACATCATCCCGGCTGCCCTCCTCCCAAATCCTTTCTGAAGCTTATTAAATATCCTCCTTACCACACTTCCCCAAACAGTCCACAACACTCCCTAGAGCAAAGCAGGATTATAAACTCTCTCATTCTGAAGCTGGCTGTTCCCTTACTGCAGAAGACAGCACCCTACCTCTCTTGGGCTGCCATGACCCAGAGCTGAATCCTCAGGAACTTCAAGGACACTTAGACTTCCAGGCCTTCTTCACCTGAACTGTCCCCTTGCTGCAGCGTCCTGATCTTCTATTTGGGCAGTGACCTTTTAAATTCAAGGGCAGGTCTTTATAGCGATCCCCATTGACTGTCATTTTATGAGACTGGGTCCACAGCCAACGTGAGCCTGGTGAGATCTTTCTGGATCCTAAATCAACTGTCCATGCCAGCTTTGTGCCATTGGCAAATGTGAGGAGCTGCCATCTAAGGATGAGGAGTCTTTCATCTAAGTCATAGATACGGATGCTCGATGGCCTGGGACCAAGCAGAGCTCCCCTGGAGACATCTCCCCGAGCTACTGTAGAGCCACTGATGACTACCCTCTCAAGTCTCATCATTTCCTCAGCTCCACTGCCCTCTCAATGACTAGCCCATATTTCTCTGTCCTGTCCACAAAGGTCACATGAGAGATTTTTGTCAAGATAGTCTGCTGAAGGCTATGTAAACTTTATCTCAGCGAGCCCACCATCTCCCGGCCTAGTAACTGTCAAGACAAGGAAATGAAGTTAGTCTGACATGGCCTGCTCCTGAGGAAGTCATGCTGGCCCTCCTGGCGATCACCGCTTCCCTTGCAGATGTTCCCCATCTCCCCCTTTACTAACACACTCCAGCACTTTGGGGGGCACGAAGTCCAAGTCTGTCAGCTGCTAAGTTCTACTTTCTTTCCTTTGTAGAGAATCAGGACAATTAGCTCTTTTTCAGCCCTGCATTCTCCTCCACATCGCCACACCTTCTTGTGGAGAGGTCTGTGGCAACGTGGATAAGAGGCTAAACTTGGTCAGGGGTTCAAATCCCTGCCGTTCACAGTGACTAACTGTATAACAGTGGGAAAGTCACTTAAACACTGAGCCTCAATTTCCACATCTGAAAAATAATAATAGTATCTCTCTCATCAGATTGCTAGAAGGCTCAGCTATTATTGTTAGTATTAGAATAATATTATTTTAAGAATATAATATTAATCATCATCATTATGATATCAAGTATGTAGGATCATACTGCTTGCAATTAATTGTTATATAATGGTAATGATATTGTTAATTATCATTACTAAGGCAGCAAGGTGACACAATGGATAGATTGCTGGACCTGGAATAAGGAAGACCTGAGATCAGATCTGGTCTCAGACACTAATTGTGTGACCCTGGGAAAGTCACTTCTCCTATGCCTGACTCAGTTTCTTCATCTATAAAATGGGGATGATAATAATAGGCCCTAACCCCAAGAGCTATTGTGAGGATCAAAATTATTTATATGTGTGTTACATTTATTTATATTATAATTATATCATATTATATTAACATAATATGCTAATATATTATATTCATTCATAATATATATGTTTATAAAATGCTTTATAAACCATCAAGTGTTTTATAAATGCTATTGTTACTATTGTTATTATTTCAAAGATCATTGATAGCAGTTCAAAAGCAGAATGAATACTGGATAATTTTAGGGTCAGAAGACCTGGTTTCAAAGCCTAGCTCTGCCATGTACCACTACCTTGTTAGGTCTCTAGGGCCAATTCCAGCTCTAAATTATGCTCCCAGGACCTCTCCTCCAGTTCTTTCCTGGAATGGAGCTGGTCCAGACCATCTGCTGATGGCAGTAAGATGCTCTCCTCCAATTTCCTCATTTGTCTAGTGTTTCAACCCCCACTAACCATTTGTGTTCTATGCTCTCCTCTCTAAACCAATGGTGCAAATGAAAACTCATGGGTGAGTGAGAAATTTAACTCGGGTCTAAGTGAAAATTATCCCATTATTTCTCAAACTAATCCTGTGAATAACACCCAAAGGAAATGAATACTAGCCAAGCTCTTGGATCTTATTTCTAAAAGCTCTCATTTATAAGACAATGTGTGTGCATCCTAAGAAGGAAAGAAGGTGATGGTATCAAGAGGTCGCTAATAAACAAGGTGTTCATTTCTTCACATACAAAAATGCCTCTGGGACAGGAAAAGCTCATTCTTACCTGAGGTGCTACGTAGTAAGGGGTGAATTGTGGCGTCATCAAGTCCCCTTGGTCAATTTTGGCAAATCCAAAGTCACACAACTTAACTGGAGCATCCTAAAATGAGGCAAGTGGGACATATCACTTGAAAGTTCTGCCTTGTGTTAGATATCAGATCTGTGAACGATACCCAAACGAACATCTGGGGTAAGCAAGGTCTAGGGGAACAGTTCACCTTACTAATATAGATTGAGAAATGTCTTTACTCCCATATACTAACTGTAACTGTCCCAACCAGGAAAAGAAACAATGGAAAATTAGGCCTGAAGCCAACTGTGTCCCAATATTAGTGGCCTATTAGTTGTAATAGCAGATTGAATCCCTGACCATTTCAGAAAAAGACTGACAGTTAAGTGCAAAGAGTTTAATGCTACTCAACACTTGTTATAAGACTTAGAAAAACTTAGAGGGAAACTTATGCCAGTAGAACAAGTATAAAGTAATAAATAGGGTCAAAATATCGATTTTATCAGGTGCCAACAAACCCAGGATTTCAATTTAAGGTCAAGCAACAGCACCTTATACTGATAGGACCTATTCCTTCTATCTCTTCCTTTCCCCTGGCTGGAATCAAGACTGACTGTGGTCCCGGGCTCCCAGCAACTGGTCTTTTTCATGCCAAATATAGCTATGGGAGCCAATGCTGAGCACACAAGATTTCTGAGGCCCAGGCCTTCAGTGATATATATATGGGTGCTGGCAAAGGACCAAACCAGGGCTCTGGTATTCCCTGAAGCCTTCTGGCCTAAGCCCTCCCTGCCCTCTCACTTCTGGATTTGGCCCATGCAGCCTGAGCTGGAGTTGGAAGAATAACTTAAAATTGCCAAAAAGTCAGGCTTCTCACCAAAGAGTTATCCTTGAAGAGCAGATTCTCAGGCTTGAGGTCTCTGTGTGCAATGTTTAGTAAGTGACAGTGCTGCAAAGCCAAAGCTATCTGGAAAAGGACACAATAAATCAACTGAAATTTAGGAGAAAGAACTGGCTGCATTCCCCTTGCTTAGTTAGACCTTGAAGGAAAATGGTAACAATTAGCCTTTTTCCCAAAATACAGTGGAGATATTTTCAAATAGATGAAACTTTTGGAGAAACCCAAAGCAGAACACATGAAAGAACAATCACACCAAATGAAACCAAAGAATCAGATTTAGCGGCAAACTGCCGGGACACCAACACTGGCAAGCTAGGCAGGCTTGGGGTCTCTGACAGGACAAGCAGGAAGAGAGCACCTGTGGGGCATTTTTCTTTAAAAAATTAAGGCTTGCTTTCATAGGTCATGTCCTTTTCAGGTCAACTTGAGGTCCAGAGACATTCTTGTAGCAGGGGGCATCAGTGGCCCCCACAGTCCATTACAATGGGAGTTTTACGAAGGACATTCCTCACAACACCCCTGTGAGGTAGGTCATGAAAGCACTATTATTGCTATTTTGCAGATGAGGAAACTGAGTCTCAGAGAGGCGAAGTGACCTGAGCATATCCGTCTAGGTTCAGAGGCAGGATTCATACCCAGTCCCCTGGATCCAAGTCCTTCATTCTTCCCACTACACCATACTGATTTTCCTAGACCCAGGCAATAATAAACAATAGAAATGAGGTCAGAAGCCAGTTACATTCTGTGATCTTCAACTTCAGGTTCTGACTTTGAAGGAAAAAAAATCTAAAACCATCCAACTGAATTTTTCCATCTGATTTTCCTACTAGTTCATGTTAAATGTTGAAAAGTTGTTTATATATGTGGATTTGGGGCAGGAGGTTGGGTTCTGTTGTCTTCAAGATAACCACAAGGCATCCTTTATTCCAAAAGAAATTTTAATGTAAGATATGTTACGCTAACAGAAAAGATGATTTTTAAAAGATACTCAAAGCCTGAGGATTGCATTTCCCAGTTATTCCAAAAATAACATTCTTCTCTGCTACTCAATGGCATCATGGAAAATTTGGCAGTACTTTCTGCTTAGAACTACTTGTGCTGTGGGAAATGATTTTTCTGCCCTCAGCTGGACTGAAAACACAACCTCTGAGACTTAGCTTTTCACCTTCTCAAGAGGCCTATTCTCCAGCTGGAGTTCATGAGGTAAATCATCTCTATGACAACCAAACATGAGGTCACAAAGAGGAAGGATACTAGGCAGGACCAGGGGAAATTCAAAGAAACAAAGATCTTGTAAACACTGAGAGATCGAAGAAGAAAGAGAAAGGCAGGCTCCACGTGCACTCACATGCACACACACAGGCACACACGCACTCACAGACACTCTCCCCACCACCTTCAGTATTTTTACAGGCACAAATGTCTTAGAATATACCCCGATAACATACAGTTCACTAAGAATCATCAGCAGCATTTTAACCCAACAGCCAAGTAACAGCACTAAGATTCTCTATCTCAAGAGCAAGACATCCATAGCTACAGTCTATAGAGAATATCATCCTCCATCACGAGCAGAGTAACTAAAGTCATGTTGTAGGCTTCGGGTAACAGCAATGTCAAGGTGGCAATTCCTGGAGTCTAGGAGACCCCCAAAAGGCACCAGATCACAAAGGTCCCATCTCTCCTGTCCAGACAGCTTATCTGATCACATAACAAAGCAGGCAATGAGAGCGTCAGATCAAACAAAGCTTTCCTCTGGGCTTCCTTGTCTCCCCCCCCAATGAAATTGTTCTTGCCCCACATTTGCAGCTGGGTGGCTGTGCAGGGGTTCACTTGCCTGCTTTGTTACTTGGCTGGCTTGCTTCTCTGTAAAGTGCCGGTGCTGGCTGATTCTGTGAAATAGCTCTCCCCCTTCCATCATCTCCATTACAATTAGGAGTCGAGCCCTGTTTGAAAGCATTTGATTTTTGTTAAAGTGAAAAAAAAAAAAAAACAACAACTAGACATCAAGTTGTTGACCTAACGATGCACATTTCACACGTGGGAAGTGCTCCGCCCTTCTATCCATTTTTAAATACTGCTGGTTCAATTGTGAGCTGTCTCTCTCCCCTTCCCCTGGTTCTACCAACCAGACCCTACAACGCCACACAACATTAGGCCAGCTAAGACAGTCTAAGAAACTAGAATGGAAGCAACTCACTTGTTTTGAGGTCCCTGAAGACTTTTTTATATCTTGAACAGACTCTTGACTTCCTCAGGATTTAAGATGGGGGAAGATCTTGTAAGCGGAGCACTTAATAAATATTGTGTGGTATTTGGATGGAACCCAAGATCCAATGTTATAGTGCTTGGAGGTACATCAGAGAGCACCTAGTCCAACACTCTCACTTTACTGATGAAGAAACTGAGGCTGACATAAGCAGATTAAGTGACTTGCCCAAGGTCACACAGCCAAGCATCAGTGAAACCTGAACCCAGGTCCACTGAATTCAAAGGAAGTGATCTTAACACTGTACCACGGAATTATAATGAAAAACATTGTCACCGTCTCCCCTTTCTCCCCCCACCCCCCAAAAATGTGCTTTTGGAGGCATATAATGGTAATATTACTGATTCTGTATCATTAAAATCTGCTCATCTTTTTTTCACCTAGTCCCCAATGGAATACACATTATGTATGTGCAACATGAGGTTACAGACAGGTATGATCTGTGGTCATGGAACAAAGGCCTGGTGGGAAACAGACCAACTACAATCCTGTCTTCACTGGTACCAAACCACTGAGCTACTCAACCACAGAGATCATCTCCCAAGAAAACAAGATTCAACCAGAAACCGCCTTGGCCCACTACAGCTACTAAAAGCAAAGAGTCAAACATTCCCCTCAAAAGTCCCCAAGAAGATTCCTCCTATTTTGGCCACCTCTTCTCAATATGAAGGCTTCATATCTAAATGTTGCTGGCTTCCAAAAGCTTTCACCAATGCCTCCGTATAAAGCAGGACCATTCGGTTTTTCATCTATATTTACCCCAGAAGGCCCATGTCATTCTTTATTTTCAAAGTAATGTAGTGTTGCTTGTTACAAATGGTGAGGAAGGCGACCTGTGCTGGACAACACGAGACAGTGACTTTACAAAAAGTGGAAATTTATGCTCAACTTCCATTCCAGTAACTGGGTTTTTTATGGCCAGGTCAACTTTCAAGATTTTACCTTAAACACCACTGAGCTGAGAAATGGGAAGCAAGTGTTCCATCGTTCCCGAGCACCTTACCTTGGGCTGGACTCATGAGGAAACTGCACACTGTTAGCGTATACTTCAATAATCTGCACAATATTTGGGTGTGTTGCACACATCATGTGCAGACGTACCTTAAAGAGAAAAGAGGTGAGGTAACATCCAGGGGGTTTTGCAAATGCTTTCCTTCCAAACTTTCAGGGTCCTGGGCTGTGCAAAGAGCCCAGTGGAATGAGAAGGAAGCATGTTCCAGGAAAATAAGCCCAACCCCTGGGACTGACAAAAGGGTTTTTTCTGAATAAAAAGGGAAAACTGGGTCTCAAGGAAATCCTCTAATGATAGAGTCTGAAGTTAGATTTGGAAGGGAATGTAAGAGAAACCTCCCCTGGCTGTCACTGCAGCTAAGATGAGGCGGACAGCTGCAGGGTCAAAGGTCCCAGCTACTCACACACGCTCTTTCTGCGCAATTTCCATGAACCAAGTCCCCAGATTAACGGACTTTGTACCTTACTGGCTAATGGAAAAACGAACTGAATAGTAACAATCAGCCTTGGGCAAGGCCTTACTTAGTTCAATAAGTCACTGCTTCTTATTCAAGAGATTCCTGTGCATGCAATCTTTGCCATAAGGTAGTAGTCCAAGCAATAAGGAAAAAAAAAGAAGACATTCAAGGCCTATGAAATCAGCCTCACAACACCATGTAGACTTGACTTCAACACTCCTAAGAAGCCAAATACACACTGTCAATGTCATTCCCCCCAAAGCATCACGCTCAGGAGTTGTGTGCCCTCTGCTCACTACTGCTCCGGCTTCCCCCACGTCTCCCCTGCCCCTACTCATGCACAGAGCTCTGAATTCATCCATCCCCAGCCTCCAAACCCAATCTCTAAGTGAGCAGACAATGGAGCCAGTATGAATGCTTCAGAGATCAAGGACCATACAGACTCAAAGAAGGTTGAGAGGCTGTTCTCAAGAGTTGTGCCCAAAAGGAAGTGTGTGCCCGTTGTGTGCTAGTTGGCACTACTTCAACAATACCTTCAAGAAAGTTTAAATTATGAGCTGAGGAAGGGAGGAAGACAGCAGTGAAGCCCCAGATGTGAAATTCCAAACCACGCTTTCTCTGAGTCTAAATGAAATTCTCTCGTGTGTGTTTATGTCACTTTAGAAAGGCAAAATGTCAAATATTTGTCCATCTTAAAGGTAATCAAGGAGGAAAAAGAACTGTTTCTACAAATGAACATGGAGAAAAGAAAAAAGGAAGGAAAGAGAAAGACACAAATCATACCTCATTCCGAGCTTTTGGACGATCAAGAAGAATTTTCAGTGCAAACCGTTCTTGGGTAGATTTTTTCACACAGACCCTGTTATGGGGGGAAGGGGGATGTGGTCAGAGATCACATTAGAAAGAAAACTCTGCCCTTTATCTAAAGATCTGCATATAAACTACATAAACATTCCCAAGTCATTATCCTCCTCTAAAAAGATTGGCCAAACAATTCTTCCCTATCCAGTGAACACAGAATGGACCGGCGCCTCTGGAGAGAAGTCTATCTAAGCCAGTGATAGTCTGACCAGGACTCTAGCTCCTACATAACACTCTCACAATAGATGCTGCAGGGCATACAAGTGGTTCTTTTGGCTAAAGCTCTGAAAACATGGCTCCATAAACTTAACTCCCCATACCACTGCTCTAAAGCTCTATCAGTGTAAAACACATTTGAGTGAAATACAGAAACTTTGGAATTTATTTCTAAGTGTACAAAAAACTTTAAAAAAGTTGTACTGTCATTCTACATGGTAATTTTAAGTTATTTTCAAATCCGGCTGCACATTGGTTCACATGGGACATCCTGACTCCAAGAACATTCCAAACATCCCTTATCAGGACAATGTTACCACATTTCTTGCATGGCAAAATTGTTATGCACTAAGTTAATATAATCACTGCAAGTTACATATCAATAAGGAATCGATGTCACAAAATGATTTGTATCATCTAAAAAAAAAGGGGATAGAAAGGTGGAAAGTCAACATCTGATTTAAAATCAATCTTCTAACATCCATTTCTAAAGCAGACATTCAAATGCATAGTGTCTTACCTAACTGGACCACTAATTCCAGCTCCCAATTTCTGAGTCCAATTAATATTGTATTCCTCTAAAATGGAGGTCTCCTATTAAAATAAAAAGGGGGAGAGAGGGAGGAGGAAACAAAGAATTAGTCCCTCAGTTAAGATTCAGAATAGGCCTCACACAGATTCTTGCACATGATACATATTTAATCAAATAAATGTTTGCTGAATAAAATAATTCAGCTGAGATCACAAAGATGCCCCTTTCACTTACTGTCTCAGTTGAAAAGAAACTATGACATACCTCTGGCAGTGGTCTGATGTACAATGTTAATCACTGAAAACTTAGTCACCTTGTTTGGGATAGGGTTTACCCCCAAAAAAAGAAGAACCAAAATAAAAGGCTTTCTACAAAGCATGCAAAATAATGATGATAACTAAATAACTTTTGTTTAGATACATTTTTTAAAAATAACTTCAACAATTGCTTTAAATCACTATTTAAAACAACTCTGAGGTACTACCTCACACCTATTTGGCTAATATGATAGAAAATGAAAATAACCAATGTTGGAAAAGATGTGGGAAAAGTGGAACACTAACGCATTACTGATGGAGTTGTGAGCTGATTCGACCATCCTGGAGAGCAATTTGGAACTAAAAGGGCAAAAAAAAGTACAAACTCTTTGTCCTAGCAATAGTAGTACTAAGTCTGCGTCTCAAAGAGATTAAAAAAAAAAAAAAAAGGCAAAAGACCTACATGTACAAAAATATTTATAGCAGCTATTTTTGTGGTGGCAAAGAGTTGGAAATCGAGGGGATGCCCATTAACTGGGGAATGGATGAACAAACTGTGGTCTATGATTGTGATGAAATATTAAATTAATGTTAAAAATTGTTTTGACATGTAATCAGGAAAAAAAATTTTAATACTTCAATTTAGTTACAAAACTGCTAAGAGGGGCTCTTAATATGGGGGTTAGTAAACTCTTTTTTAAATATTTTAATACGTGCATTTCGATATAATTGGTTTCCCTTATAATCCTATGTATTTTATTCTATGTCCTTAAAAACATTCTGAGAAGGGGTCCACAGGCTGCCAAAGTCAGTCAGTCATCAAATTTTTATTAGATGTCCACAACGTGCTTGCTAAGTGCTCAGTATACAAAGAAAGGCAAAAGATAGTCCCTGTTCTCAAGGAACTCACAGTCTAATGGAGGGGGCAACAAGCAAATAACAATGCACAAGTAAGATAGAATCAGGACCAACTGGAGATAATCAACAGAGAGAAGGCACTAGCATTACGAGGCATTGTAGAAGATGAGATTTCAGCTGGGACTTGGAGGAAGCCAGGGAAGCCAGGAGATGGAGATGAGGAGGGAGTGAATTCCAAGCATGGGGGAAAGCTAGTGAAAATGCTCATGTCCAGTGTCTTGGATTGTCGAATACATCGGGGGGCATATGGTGTAGGAAGACTGGAAAGGTAGGAAGGGGACAGGCTGTGAAGGGCTCTGAACCTTAAAGGATGTTAACCTGGATCCTGGAGGTGATGTGAAGCTATCAGAGTTTACTGAATAGGGAGTCTATACGGTCAGACAAGAATGGACTGGATTGGGGACAGACTTGAAGCAGGGAGATCAACCAGAAGGTCATTCGTTACAATAGCCAAACATGAGGTTTTAAGCGCCTGTATCAGGAGAGTTGGAGGAGGGACAGGAAGGCATCAGTGAGAGATACTACAAAGGCAGAATCAACAGGACTTGGCAAAAGACTGGATTTGGGAGGTGAGAGAGAGAGGAGTAGAAGATGACACCTGGCTTGCAAGCCTAGATAATCAGAGCGATGATAGTGCCCACCACAATAATAAGAAAACGAGGAAGAAGGACGACTTTGGGAGAAAAGATAATGACTTCAGTTCTGGATGTGTTGAATTTCAGATGGCTACAGGACATTCAGCTCAAGCTGCAGAAGAGGCAAGAGGCTGGAGGACAGGAAAGATTACAGTTGGATAAGTAGATCTGGAAATAATCATTGGAAATTCTGAAGAGAATCTCAGTTGAATGATGAAACAAGAAACAAGACTGCAGAGTAAAGCTAGTGAGACGGAAAGTAGAGGCATTGAATTCATGGGTCCTTGATTTAAAACAAAACAAAATGAAAAAACAAGTTAAGAACCCATGAAATAACTTGTTCCTGGAAATTTAAGAAAGAAGAGTCTATTACATAATGCCACATAAAAGAAAATAAAGCGTGGAAGAGGGAAACATGCTACTAACCAAAATAAATAAGTCAGATAAGAAAGTCCAAATAAAAGTCTTAGTGCTAACTAAAAACAAACATCTTCTAAATCCTCAACAGCACTACTCTGATTAAGAGGCTTATGTCGTTATCAGTCATCAGCCATCTTCTTGGCCCAGAATCATGCCTTACAGTCGGACCAAAGAATGATACAGAAATACTCCCCAATAACTGTAAAAAAACAAGGAAAGACCAAAAAATTGTTCATTCATTTTTAACAAATATTTACTAAGTATATACTACACGCCATCAGGGGATGTGGAGAGAAATTCTCTGACTTCAAGCTGCTTTCATTGCACTGGGAGACAGGTCACCTAAGTAGATGATGAATAAATAAAGATAATTTAAGGCAAGTGAAAGCACAGCACTAGCAGCTGGAGAGATAAGGAAAGGTCTTTTGTAGGAAATGGCACCTAAGCTGAGCCTTGAAGAAAGTTAGAGATTCCAAGAGGTCGCAGTGAGGAGAGAAAGCATTCTTACCCACAAACATGAGGCTAGAATTAAATTTCCCCAACTGACAAATGGGCAAAGGATATAAACAGGAAGTTTTGAGAGGAAGAAATCTAAGCTATCAATAGCCATGTGAAAAAATGCTCCTAATCACTAATAATTAGAAAAATGCAAATTCAAGCAACTCTGAGGTTCCACCTTATGACCCCTCAGATTGGCAAAGCTGACAGAAAGGGAAAGTGACAAACGCTGACGGGGCTGAAGAAAAACAGGGGCATTACTGCAACGATGGTGGTGAAGCTATGAAATATCCCAGCCATTCTGGAAAGCAGTCGGATGCCTACAAATGCCTAGAAAGTTACCAACCTGTGCATAGCTTTGACCCAGCAATATTACTATAACCCCAAAAGATCAAAGTAAGAGAAAAGACTCGTATGTGCTAAAATACTGCACACATTAACAACAGCACTGTTATAATGATGATCATGTTTTCTAATGATAATGATACTATAGCACTTTTAGACTGTAAAACACTGTACATATGTTATCTCATTTGATTCTCATAACAACCCTGGGAGGTAGGTGCTATTACGATCCCAATTTTACAGACAAGGAAACTGAGGCTGAGAGATGTGAAGCCACTTACCCAGCGTCCCACAGCTAGTGTCTGGTCTAGATTTGAACTCAGGTTTTTCTGCGTCCAGGTTCAGCACTCTTACCCGCTGTACCCTGAGCTGCCCTTGACACATCACAAAGACAACTTTGAATGTCTTAGGAACTGTAATCATCGAAACAAACAACTACCACTCCAGAGGACAAACGATGAAGCAAGTTCCCCACCTCCTGACAGAGAGATCATGGGCTCAGGATGAACACTGAGACATCTTTTGGGGGGCATGCACATTGCAGGAATTTGTTTTGCTCTGACTATGCATATTTGTTAGAAGCTTTGCCTTTCCTTTTTTTTTTTCCAAGGGGGAACAAAGGGGAAGGGGGAAAGGTAGATTTCTGCTCACCAAGGAAAGTAATTTAATTTTCAAAATGTAATAATTTTCAAAAAAGCACTAAACAAACTCCTTTTGGAGAGTTGTCTGAAAAGTCTACCACTATACTTGTACCTAAGGGTAAAAGTAACTGCTCCTCTTCTAGACCTTCCCAAATCCCAGATCTCCTCCCTTAATTTTCTCAAATAGCTTTCCTCCACTAAGTAGTACAGCTTTATTAATACTTCCATGAATACTACCCATGTTGAAGACAAGTCTAAATCCTAGTACACCAAAGAGGAAATAGTTCAACATCCTAACGTTAGACTGATTATAACTGACACGTTTACTCACAAAACTCAAAGCCAGAAGTGAAAAGTGGGAAGGGATCTTACTAGGAAGAAAGGGTTCCTGACAATCAATCAATCAACAAGCATTTATTGAAGACCAACTACATGCCAACTAATAGGCTTACAAAGACACAAATGAAAAGGGCCTTGCACTCAAGTATCTTACGTTTGAATAAAGGAGAATGAATAAACATCCATACAAGACACAGAGTAAATCAATCAACAGGCATTTACTAAGCACTTATTACTATGTGCCAGGCAAAGCCCAGGAGATCATAATCTAACAAGACAGACAAAAACTACATCGGCTCAGCAGACAGAGCGCTAAATCTGGATTCGTGAAAACTTGAGTTCAAAGCCAGCTTCTGCCATTCACTAGCTATGTGACCCTGCGCAAGTCACTTAACTGGTCTGCCTCACTTTCCTCATCTGTAAAATGAGGATAATAATAACACTGACCTCCCTGGGTTGTTGTAATGAGGAGAGGAGAAGGGAAGGAAAGGGGTAGAGAGGGGAAGGAGAAATGAATGACAGACAGATAAATGTAAAGCACCTTGAAAATCTGAAAGCACTAAATAAATGCCAGCTATTTTAGTAACAGCCAATTTGAGACAGAGGGCACTAACAGTCCTGGTGATCAAGAAAGACTTCACATAGAAGAGCGTGCTTAAGCCGCATCCCGAAGGAAGAGAGGGATTCTGTGAGGCAGAGGTGAGGAAGAAGTGCAGGCCAGGCCCCAAGAGCAGTCATTACAAAAGCATCTTTTTTGGGCATGTTGATGTGTTTTGCTGAACTGCAAAGGGGGTGCCATTCTGGCTGCTGGAGAGACCAGGAAAAGCCTCTGGCAGAAGGTGGCCTTTGAGTGGAGTCTTAAAGACAGCCGAGATGAGGAGCGAGAGCATTCCAGGCCTGGAGGCCAGTGAGTGCAAAGGCATGGAGCATCCTGGGAGAAGAACAGCAAGTAAGCCAGTACGGCCAGACTGTAGTGAGCGTGAAGAGGAGCAATGTGTCTGAGGGCTGA